CGTTCTGAATTGTTTTGAGAACTGTATGTTGTTTTGTAGTCGTTAGGGTGTTCTGAATTTTTTACCATGTTGCTATGCAGTTGCTAGGGTTTATTAAATAGTTCTGAGTATGTTGCTGTGCAGTTGTCAGGGTGTTCTGAAAAGCTTTTAGCGTGTTGCTATGCAGTTGCTAGGTGGTGTTCTAAATGTTTTTACCATTAGTGTGTTGTTGCTAAGGTTTTTTGGCCTGTTTTTAAAAGTGTTGCTATGCAGTTACTATGGTGTTATGAATAGTTTTTACTATGTGGTTGCTAGGACGTTCTGAATTGTTTTGAGAACTGAATGTTGTTTTGTAGTCGTTAGGGTGTTCTGAATTTTTTACCATGTTGCTATGCAGTTGCTAGGGTTTATTAAATAGTTCTGAGTATGTTGCTGTGCAGTTGTCAGGGTGTTCTGAAAAGCTTTTAGCGTGTTGCTATGCAGTTGCTAGGTGGTGTTCTAAATGTTTTTACCATGTTGCTATACAGTTGCTAGGGTGTTCTAAATGATTTTACCACATTAGTATGCAGTTGCCAGGGTGTTCTGAATATTTTCATCATGTTGCTAGCTAGGGTGTTCTAAAAATGTTTTACCACGTTACTATGCAGTTTCTAAGGTGTTCTGAATATTTTCACTACGTTGCTATGCAGTTGCTTGGTGTTCTGAATGTTTGTATAGTGTTGCTATGCAGTTGTTAGGGTGTTTTTTCCATGTTGCTATGCACTTCCTAGTGTCTTCTGCATAGTTTACAGCATATTGCAGTTGCTAAGGTGTTATGCATGTTTTATAGTATGTTGCTGTGCAGTTGCTAGAATGTTTTATATATATCTTTAGGATGTTTTTTTCTGAGAATTTTGAGTGGTTTGTATGTTGTTGCTATACAGTTGTCAGGGTGTTCTGCATGGTTTACAGCATGTTGCTATGCGGTTGCTAGGGTGTTCTGAACATTTTTACCATGTTGCTATGCAGTTTATAGGGTGTTTTGAGTGTTTTTAGCATGTTGCTATGTGGTTGCTAGGCAGTTCTGGATAGTTTTTAGCATGTTGCTGTGTGGTTGCATGCTCTTTAGATTGTGGCTATGCAGTTGCTATGGTGTTCTATATAGTTTTTAGGATGTTGCAATGAGATTGCTGGGAAATTCTGAGCGGTTTGTAGAATGTCGCTATGCCGTTGCTAGGGTGTTCTGAATTTTTTACCATGTTGCTGTGGAGTTGCAAGAGTGTTTTGAATGTTTTGACATGTTGCTATGCAGTTGGTAGGGTGTTTTGAGTGTTTGTAACATGTTGCTATGCAGTTGCTTGGGAATTTAGAGACATCTGGAATGTTGCTACATTGTTGCTAGTGTGTTCAGAATAGTTTTTAGCATGTTGCTGTTTGGTTGCATGCTTTTTAGATTGTTGTCATGTAGTTGCTAGGGTGTTCTAAGCATGTTGCTATGTAGTCGCTATTGTGTTAAAAAAATAATCAAAAACTACTTTGTCAAAAAAAAAAAAAAAAACTAAAAAATGCTGCATAACCACGTTACTATGCAGTTTCTAAGGTGTTCTGAATATTTTCACTACGTTGCTATGCAGTTGCTTGGTGTTCTGAATGTTTGTATAGTGTTGCTATGCAGTTGTTAGGGTGTTTTTTCCATGTTGCTATGCACTTCCTAGTGTCTTCTGCATAGTCTGCAAAAATGCTGCATAATGTGACAGTGTCTTGATCATTGATCTGTTATATCGCATCTCTGAGGGACAGTTTCTGAGGGACATACCGCAGGTCTCGCGGCCTTACTTGAACCGTTCTCCTCGGTCTGCCGCATTGAAAGCTACTTGGAAAGATTTGTGCTGCTCAGAAACAATTATAGGTCATAAATGCATCAGTGGGAAGGAGCTGCGGGGATGAAAGCGAAAAGCCTCTTATTTTAGTTTCACAGTGATTTCTTTCCACGGAGTCCTTTTATCATGCGCTCAGAGACTGACCAGATTTCGTGACGTGGCCTCCTTAAGTTGTTTGATATTGTTTTGTTCCCTGCGCCACCATGTAGACAGTGTGTTTGCGGTCCAGAGTCAGACCAGAGCAGTGTGCTTTATAATTGGTTTAACTTGAACAAGACCAGCTGTGCAATAAAGGAGCAAAGCCGCGTGAAGAAACCCGTGGTACTGGGTGTCCGTAGATCCTTCTGGATCACGATCCAGCGCGTGAAGAAAAGGATTTCGCATGTGTGCTGAAAGTAAAAGTTTGTGACATATTTATTAAAATAAATTTAAAGACATGTTGACACCACACGAATACCTGTGAGGTCCATTTGCGACAGATTAGCTGTCCTCCAATCAGCATGCAGCATGTTTTCCTCTCCTCCAATCAGCATGCAGACACTACTTAGGCTAGTTTTCTCAGGCAACGACTGGGTTAATTTTATCCTCAACGATCTCACAAGCATTTCTCAAGTTAAATCATGTAGCAACTAAATAATGATAAACACTTAAGCATTAAGCTGAATTTATTGTTCAGCAGACTCTTGTCCTAAAGGGAAGAATCCTGTTTATGGTGCCTAGAGCCAAATTTATATCACACAGTGAAATTATATGCAAATCACCATAATAAGCAGGGAACGCGTTTATCTGATCTGTTCTTTGTATCTGATTTATGGAGATGTTTTTTCCAAAGATGCCAAAACAACATGTTTCTCTTAATTAAATAAGACACTGGACAATGAGAACGTTGTGGTTGTCTTGATTTCTCCTCTGAATTGTCGATTAATTGAAATGTTGAATTCATTTGCATGGACTCTGTAATGGTTTGAATTGCTATCAAGCTAACCAGCAACAAATGTGCAGAAACCGTCGAACTACCTTCATCCGAGGACCCTCAGAGAACTTTATCTGTTCTTTGTATCTGATTTATGGAGATGTTTTTTCCAAAGATGCCAAAACAACATGTTTCTCTCAATTAAATAAGACACTGGACAATGAGAACGTTGTGGTTGTCTTGATTTCTCCTCTGAATTGTCGATTAACTGAAATGTTGAATTCATTTGCATGGACTCTGTAATGGTTTGAATTGCTATCAAGCTAACTAGCAACAAATGTGCAGAAACCGTCGAACTACCTTCATCCGAGGACCCTCAGAGAACTTCATCATTATCTGTCTGGAAAACACCTGGAGGCGACGCGCTGTAATCACGCAGGGCGGGACGCTCTGTCTGCACGCGACCGCAGTTAACCCTTCCTGCCCTCTGTAAAGAGAAGAACATAAATCCATGTTTCCTTCATGACATAACGCTGTCGTAAACTAAACTCTCTGTCTTAAGGCAAGTTCACACCACGAATGATATTAACGTCCGCATCAACGGACAATGACGTTCTGACAACTACAGATTTAAATATTGGCGCTCTTTAATGTTGGGTGGATTCTGATTGGCTGTTAATAATTTGTTCTGCTGGAAAAAAAAATCGCTCCTGTTAAAAATTTAACATGACACTACTCTAAATAAGGTATATAGTTTTACAGAACTGTTAAAAGGTGAACCTTGAATGCAGTGTAAGTCGCTTTGGATAAAAGTAAATGTAAATTTAATTTAAATTGTGAACCTGGACCACAAAACCAGTCATAAGGGTCAATTTTTTGAAATTGACATTTATACATCATCTGAAAGCTGAATAAACAAGCTTTCAATTGATGTAGGGTTTGTTATGATAGGACAATATTTGACCGAGATACAACTAGCCTATTTGAAAATCTGGAATCTGAGGGTGCAAAAAAATAAAATAATAATAATTTAAAAAACATTGAGAAAATTGCATTTAAAGTTGTCCAAATGAAGTTCCTAGAAATGCATTACACTTATCAAAAATCAAGTTTTGATATATTTACGGTAGGAAATTTACAAAATATCTTTATAGAATATGATCTTTACTTAATATCCTAATGATTTTTGGCATAAAAGAAAATTCGATAATTTTGACCCGTACAATGTATTGTCGGCTATTGCTACAAATACACCCCAGTGACTTAAGACTGGTTTTGTGATCCAGGGTCACAATAGTGTTATTATAAAATTAGAATGCTTATTAAATACGTTATAGTTACAGTTATTGTCCTTGTTGTGAACAGGCCTTTATGGCGCTAATAGCCTACATGACTTTGCCTAAAGGAAACATTTCGTTGCTTGCATCAGTTAGGAACACAAACGGACGTAAGGTGTGTGCTAATCAGGGGCATGTTGAGTCAGTGTTTGTGTATATTTTCCACACGTATCTAAGTAAATTCTACAGCTAATATGCAAATTCTATCAGTACTTCAGGCAACCTTACTGGTATGTGGACATGTACATCTTTTAAAATCATCTCTGGTGTGGCCCTATTAATTTCTTCCATTCACATTCCAATAGCTGTCTGGATCATCCTGGTGGAATGTTTGAGAGGGGTTGTCATGTTATTTTTGGAGAACTGTGGTTTCCCATGCGCACTTTAGTGAACACTGAGTGGATTTCAAAATGTGGATTTTTACATAAATCTGAAAGTATTACTTGTGTCATTTACTGTAAAGCTTAAAGGCACAATATGTAATTTTCGCCACTAGAGGGCGCGTATTCAACAACATTCTTCGAAAAAATTTGGGATAATGTAAGTACACAAGTCAGCAAAATATATAACACTGTTCTAGTGGTTTTTGGATATTTTAATAAAATAATCTTACATATTGTGCCTTCAACCCGAATCTTTTGGCAAGAGAATATTCTTAATTTGTGTATATTGTGTAATAATCTATGTATTATTTATCAAATTTTGATGTGTTTGAAATGAAAACACCTAATGCTCTTTGAAGTACTGAAGCATGCTGTGTTGAAGAAGTCTGTATGTTGTCTCCCTCTTGTGTTCAATGAATGTTGTTGACTTCGAATCTTCAAGAAACATTGCATTATCAGTATTAATCAATGCTTTCTTTATTTCCTTTACAAACTTTTGACAATGTATACACATAAAATATTTCCCTGAAAACCGTTTCAAAAGTGCATGTTTAAAATATAAAAATTCCCTTTATATGAAAATATACTTTTTAACTTTTAAATTATAGCATTTATATTACTTGTACATTCTCGTAGAAAACAACAACAGAAGGCAGTTTGCATTTGAGTATTTTACAGTTCTGATTGCTTTCCTTCGCATTCGGCTCAAATGTCGTACAGAAATGCATTCAAGTGATGTTTTTTTTAATGGATTTTATGTTTTTGTTGCACAGCTGCTCACTTTTACAGTCCTTTCTGCATTTGTCCATCAGCATTGAAACTCACACCTGCTGACTTCTGATCCGCAAAGAGTGAAACGCCACTGAAGCCACAACGATGGTGTGTTTGAGGCGGTGCAGTTCCTGTGGCGAGGGTGAAACTCACCTGCCCACCGCGGCTTAACCGCTCGATGCGGATAAACAAGAAGTGGTGGAGCTGAGGCGTGTTTTCTTGCTGTTCTTGGGTTCGGGCTGAGGGCTGGTGCTCAGGTTTCGCACCTTGCTGAAGCTGTTGCGCAGACTGCTATGTCGACTCCCGGAGGTGCTGGAAGTCTCATTGGACATGAAGGTCTTGGGGTCGCACAGTCCCGCCTTCAGACAGCAGCAGCACAGGAGCGTCGCGATGGCTTTGCGTAACTCCAGGCTGCCAAATGAGTAAATGAGCGGGTTCATGGCCGAGTTGAGCACGGCCATGGCGATGACCCATTCGGGATTGAAGAGCGTGCTGCAATTACGAGAGTTGCAGAAGAAGTCCACCAACAGGAGGATGAACAAAGGACCCCAGCACACCATGAAGACTCCAACGATGGAGATGACGGCCTTCAGGAGGCGCAGCGAACGCTTGCGGCTGCGCACGGATATGGTCTCGGTGCTACTGCGGACGTGACAGTAGATGGCGAAATAGAGAGCGCCGATTGTGAGCAGGATTATGAAGAAGATGACCAGGGCGAACAAGATGTAGCTCTTGGAGTAGAGCGGCAGCAGCGTGGAGCAACTTCTCAGGGCGCAAACACAGTTCCAGCCCATCAGCGGAAGGAATCCGATTATGAGTGCTGTTACCCAGCAGAGCAGCACCATTATGTAGATTCGGTAAGTCTTTGTGGCGGTTTTCTGGTGGACGGGCTTCATCATAGTGGCGTAGCGCTCCACTGCGATCAAGAGCAGGCTGAATATGGACGCCGCCAAGGCTACAAACAAAAGTCCTTCGCGGATTAACCACAGAACTGGGCTTAGCCTGAAGGTGCGGTCGCCGGACATGCAGATGTTGACCACATAGGCGGATCCCGTCAGCAAGTCGCTCAGCGCGATGTTGGCGATGCAGATGAATATCCAGCGATGGCGCAAACGGACGCCGAACAGCACGGCCAGCAGCACCATGAGGTTCTCCAGGATGATGAAGATGCTGAAGCACAGGAACAGGATGGTGATGGCGTTCACGCCCTTCTTCGAGGGCTTGCGATGTTGGAGGCGTCCGGTGAAGTTGTAATGATCCAGGATGAGACTGCTGCTGGTGCTGTTGTAGATGTCGGGACAGGAAGAGGCGGAGCTGAAAGAACGCAGGAACTCCATGGTGTGAGAAGCTGGAACGTGGAGTTGAATCTCACTGGGGTCGATTTGGTCTTCGATGCAATCCGACTCCAGGCAATCAGACTCCGGCTTCTCAGGAATATCCGTGCCCTCTTTCGGAGTGACCTGATGGAAAACAGTTGATTTGACAAAGTCAATCCATTATTGTTGGGTTCTGAACTGAATAAAAATCAAAGATTTAAAATTTGCCATACACTCTTAAAAATAAAGGTTCCAAAAAGGAGTTTTCACAACAAAGTCATAGAGGAACCATTTTGGTTCCCCAAAGAACCTTTTAGTGAACAGTTCTTTAAAAAAATTTCTCTTCGTAGTGTAAAGAACATTAAAAAACATTCTAAAGAACCTTTTTCCACTTTAAAGACAAAGGAAAGATTCCATGAATGTTGAAGGTTCTTCATGGAACCATCGATGCCAATAAAGAAGCAATGCAATAAACCAATAAAGAACCTATTTTTAGGAGTGTATGCCAAATGAGGGTCATCATGTTTGTTAAAGTCATCGTCCCAAAGGTGATGGCAGTTAAATGTTCATTTTTACTAAACTACCCTGCTATCATGTGGTTGTAAAAAATAATCTTGCTTTAAAATTGATTTCACATCACAGGGACCGTCCCGTTGGCACTAAGTGTCTTGCTCAAGTGCACAATGGAGTCATCTCAGTAGTTGCTATTAGTGGTGCCCATTTCGGTTACCAGATTTTTAACCACTAGATTACACCACCGCCTACAAACTACAGAATAATGACAAGAATAGTAAAGAATTATTCAAATTTCTTATATATATATATTTTTTTGTTTTGTTTTGTTTTAAAAACAATATTTTAGAAGTGAACGCATCATGAGTTTGACCTCATTTAATCTCTGCATGTGTAAAGTACATTTAAATATCTCTAGTTTCACTACTGCACTTGTGGTTAAGAGGGTTTAAAGAGCCAACACGTGACCATGCAAAACGTAGTAAATGCAATAAATCAATCAATATTTAAATACAAACTTATAGGATAATTTTAAAAGTTAATATTTAAGCTAAATAATGAAAATGTACTTTTTTTTAAATTACTACTAAATAGATCATAATAAACTTAATAAATATGTATATTTCTATTTTTAAATATATATAAAAATAGAAATCATATAAATCATATTTTTTAAAATAAAAGCCAATGACATTTTGCTGGTGCGTCTTAACTCACCTCTTATTAGTGATGCTGGTGTAACTGGTATTGAGCCATGCTCTGATGCAGAAAGCTCGAGCGCTGGCTCTCTGAACGATTATATACCCTGCAGTAACAAGGAAGGAAGCCTTCTTGCAGATATTCGACACACCCAATGGAGAAAGCAAAAATTCTCAGTTTCTACACTTTCTAAAATGCACAGTTGTGACATCTTCCCAGAAAGTGTACAAATCATAGATTGCCATGAGAAAAATCATGTTGCATTGCATGCATTTAGATTTGGTAATGAACATAGTACATATTGGGGAAGATCTGTCACCTGTGTGAATGCTGTTTGCAAAAACATTATAATAAAAATTAAATAAAACAAATCAAATGTAATTAAATTACAACACTTTAAAAAAATCGTAAAATACAAACTATATTCAATGCATGTAAATAAAATTGTAAAATTATTATAGCTTCAATTTATTAAACAATTTACAGTATTATATGTGCAACTAATATATTTTACACCGCAATAAATGGACAATAAAGATTTAATACTACTACAGGAAGTCATTGTGCCAGTTTCTAGCCAGCACGTGTCGCAGTAGTGAAAACATTTCTCAAGACCCTTTAAATACAACTGATGCTACACGAAAATTCTTACAACAGCTTTGAAGTTGCTATAACTGATATTTCTCAGAAGCCAGTCAGCAAACAGGAAGACCTGATGACCTAGTAAAGTGGCCTCCTCCCTTACTGTTTTCAGTTCACCTCATCCAGCTGGGTGGAAAAACACACACACACACACACACACACACACACACACACACGATTAAATTAGCTTACTCCTCACTGAAAATGATGTAAAACATTTAGATATATTACACAATGAATAGGCCTATAATTAAAATTCCGTCTAAAGTAGCCTATGTCCGAACACTGTAATAATCAGTCATCAATGAAAATATAAAACTTGTTTAACACTAAATATTTCAATTCTGTTGTTGTTGTTTTTTTTCACTATGTAGGCCCTATATCAGCCATAAGAGATTTTTTATTTTTTTTAGAAAATAAATTAAGACAATACCCCCCAATATGTGTCTCCTCTGAGAATATGTGCCGTTAGATGCTGACAGCTCGGTCAGGTTTTACTTTCACTTTCTGTAGCTTAGTGAATTGACTGGAGTGTAAAACTTCTTCACGGGCATAATACTCATGCAGTTTGCACATTGTTTGTGCGGCATGCACTGGCTCGCCTTCATGGTTTAAAACTGAAATATTTATAATTTTGCGACGCGTTTGTCTTTATCACTAATTGCAAAATGATGGACAATGGTTCACATTTCCCGTGATAATAACATTATTTTATCAAAAGATCTCCCTCTTTTCGTTTTCTTTCTTGCTGTATTAAAGATTAAATAGTTAAAGTTCTATTTTCGCACAGTTGCAGTGAGGGAAAAAGCACTGAGTTGGCGACCAAAATTTCTGACATGTCAGAAATTCATCCGACCGTCCGATTGCCTGTCGGGAGAGACTTACGCTTCTTGTTTCCCCCTGTACACTCCACGAACACTGCACGACAAAGCTGAAATTCGGCTCAAAATCGGACGAAAATCGCACAGTGTATGCCCGGCTTTACGCTCTCCCGTATTAAACAAACCATTTGTCTGGTCTGACAGACCTGTTCAGGATATCTGATTTCGTACTGACATCTAGCTGTAGTTTTTATGTCATTACATTTGAGTTTTTTTTTTCAGACAAGCTGTACTACTCACATTCAACCGCGAGGGTTTGCACTTTGCACAGCTTTACCAGACCGACAGCTCTTAAAAAATAAAGTCTGCATACAAACCTGGTGTTAACTCAGAACTGAGGATTGTACTTTATTGCCAAAACCTTTGCAGATCAATGTAAATGATGCAAAATAAATATGCATAACATGCATATGTAGAAATATTACTAATGTAAGTAAAATAAGGTAATAATAAGTAAAATAAGTAACATTAATGAAACCGGAAACAGGAAAGAAAATGTACTGACCCTCAGGCCATCCAAGATGAAGATGAGTTTGTTTCTTCATCAGATGTGGAGAAATGTAACATTAAATCACTTGCTCACCAATGGATCCTCTGCAGTGAATGGGTGCCGTCAGAATAAGAGTCCAAACAGCTGATAAAACATCAAAGTAATCCACACCACTCCAGTTCATCAATTCATCTCTTGTGAAGACAAAACCTGCATGTTTGTGAGAAACAAATCCGTTATTGAGGTGTTTTTAACTTTAAACCAACCCTTCTGGTCAAAATATGAGTCCATAATCCATAATAACGCTTCCTACAGTGAAATAGTCCATCTTATGTTATCTTAACAGAGCTGTTTTGGACATCTTTCGCTTCACTGCATGGGGAAAGCAATTTTATGGATAGAATGACTCATGTTTTAACTTGAAAAAAGCACCTTAATGATTAATTTTTTTATTACAAACACAAACTTTACAATTTTTTCACGTCACAAGATGTTAACTGATGGACTGGAGTGGTGTGGATTACTTGTAGAATTACTGTGATGTTTTGATCAGCTGTTTGGACTCTCATTCTGACGGCACCCATTCACAAGTGATGGAATGCTACATTTCTCCAGATCTCCATGAAGAAACAAACTTATCTACATCTTGGATGATCTGGGGATGAGTATACATTTTTCAGCAAATTTTTCAATTTTGGGTGAACTAGTCCTTTAAGGAACGGCAACCCTGCGGCTGCAGTTCTTTTTCCATCCGCAGGGCGTCGCTGTTCAGCATCTGTTCGCACGAGACCAGTTTTCCTCACGGTGTGGTTGTAGAGATCTCCAGCACAAAGCCCACAGATCGCATTCACCATGTCCGTGTGTTCTCTCCGGACTCATATCTGTGTGTTGTGTTTTTAAAGTGGCCTCAGGGGTGGAAATAAACCTGTCTGGATGAGTTTGATGAAGAGACGATCTATTTGATGAAGAGGCGGAGCCGCATACACGTTTGCACAAACACACGGAGACAATCGACCAGCTGCCACATTTATTAACTTATTAAAATGAGACGCTTCATTCGGCACAACATACACACACCACGGTAAGTTTGACGGCTGTTTTTATTATTTCATTTATTCGAGTCGTTTTCAGCTTCGCGGCGGCGGCGAACAGAACCTTTCCGGGTGGCTGGAAGTCAAAAGGCTTTTGTTTCAAACCACCAAACAACATTTCTAATCTAAAATACTTCAATAGTATCTCGGAAAAATAGCGGTTTAGCTAGAAGCTAACTCGAAGTCGCGTTAACAAAAGATAAAAGATCCGTTCGCGGCGAAAGCTCTCAAAACGAACTTCCCGGTTTGAGCTTTTGTTAGAATCTTCGAATGTATCCGGCTACAATGTAACTTTTCATCTTTCATTTCCCGCCTTGTTCTGATTGTTAATTCTACATCTGTGCTTCTGGTTTCATAGTTGTCTATGATTTATGATCTGTACACAATCTGCGCTCGGTAAATTAATTGAAGTGATATAAACGCCGTCGGGATTTAAGGTTGAACCTCCTACTTGTTGCATTGTGTTGGCATAATACAATGGGATATGTTGGTAATGCAGTTTATGGTCACATAAAGCTTTAAGTGTTCACATATTAGCATCATAAAGTAAAAACACAATGCACAGCCCTGTAACTCATTATTGTCTTTGGAAAAACCAATGGGATGGTGGCCACCGCTTTTCTGGACTTTAGGATTGGCCGTTTTTTCCAACTCTTGACTGACTTCTGTCCTCTACTGTCGGTGCTCAACAGCCATGGAAAAACCCCACCTTCATCAAGAACAAGAAACTTGACAGGAAGCGAGAGAATTAATTTTGACGTGTCATGTGTTAGTGTTTAATGTTTTTCACAGTTATTTTTGGTTGTGAATGCAGCATGAGAAAACTGAAACGTTTTTGAATTGAACAACCTTTTAACATCAACATGTAACCAAAATCTGCTTTTTCAATCCACGTTCCTGGTCTTACTGCGAACAATTCATCAGTGTATGTCACTCCAAAGAAAAATGTTCATCTTCATGGTAATTTCTGATAATATTTGGTCAATTCAAGATGATCTCCTAACTACACATTAAGAGAAATGCATCACATGGGAGTTTCATGTTGGCATTAGTGTTCTTTATGTGAGATGACAGTGAACAGTATAATAGAGGGGATGGGTTCACATTGAGAAACTCTTCAGTGACTAGGAGACGTGAACAGGAAGTTGATAGTCGCTGATGAATGCAGACGTAGTCATAGGAAATTCAGGTTGCCAGGAGTGTTAGATGGTTGGGTGTCCCTACCCTATTTACTCTTTCTCACTCGTTCTTTTTTTCAGTCTCTATTTTGAAGCGTTATTGTGAAGTTGAGAGGGAGGCCCACAAAGCTTTTTTTGTTGCACCATATGTGCACTGACGTACAACTGAATGGGAACCACTGAATGAGAGACCTGGAAGTAGGGCTGGGCAATAGCTTTACAAATATCACAATGTTTCACAGCTTTTTATGATAGTTGAGATGAATCTCAAAAGTAATGTTTGCTCGGATCTGGCTTAAATACGTTGTTTTTGGTCCTCAAACACTTTATATTTATCTATTTATTTTTTATTAAATAAAACTATATTTAATTTATTTATGTGCACTAATATAACAAATGTAGTGTTGTTTTCAACATCTAATTTTACTTAAACTTTTACGATGTTGTTTAAAAAAAATCACAATCTTTTTTCGGCCTTCAACAATATTTGAAATATATAAATGTTTATTTTATTTTTTTCGCTGTTGTTTTTGTCCTCGACCAGAAAAATCGTCATTTCAAACAAACAGTCCTTGCAAAAATAAACCTTAAAGGCATTTTTTTTAATAATGCTTTTTTTGCATATAAACGAACCATTTTTTTCTGCATTAACTTTGTACATTTTGAACCAATCCACTTTGGAGGTGCAGTTACTCAAATACCAAAACATTAAATCTAATGCAATGCTTTGTTACTAAAGATTAAAGAGATGCTATTAAAACCATTTTTCCTTTCTGTAGTTGTGAGATAAGGATTGCAGAACGTCTACAACATATTTATCAAATAAATGTGCATTAAATAATCACAATATTAATGATGTTGCTTTTTTATTGCAACCAAACTTTGTGAATATTCAGTGGATACTCCCAGCCTTATATTAGGCCTAGTTCTAGATTTTCTTCTGTGATGGATGAACATGAAGCCATTGGTTTCATATTCGTCCACTAATGAGTATTGACGAGCAGATGGCAAGAATTAGATCCGTTTTCCCCTACATGAGGTTCACAGAAGCTGCCTTCCTCTCGAAAATCTGCAAGATTTGCAGATGGCAGCGGAATGCTTCCCTAATTTACTGAAACATCCACCGTGATCCGGTCACTCATCTGTTTCGCTGCGGTAAAGACAGGCTTTTAATCTAGAAGGTGCCCCAAAGTGGCCTGACAGCAATGCATTATGGGTGTGTGAGGGGAAAGATAAAAGGCGCTTTGAAAGCATCAAGCGAACCGACCAGAGTTTGCGGTGCGGACTCGGGATGACGCACGCGCGGTAGGAGCGGATGGAAATTGTTAAAGCGGAGTGAAAAGCGCTTGGATGTGCTCGCTGGCAGTTTCTCCGCTTCCAATGTGCGCACTCCATCCAAGTTTATACATAACCGTAATTATAGAGCGCACGAAGAAACGAGTCAGGTCTGAGTCTGACACACATTCGGTTGCTGTTTTAGCATTAACCCCTTCTAAACAATGTTAGCCTGATTTTGGGGTGTTTAAGTCATGAATAACGGTGCGTTTATTGTTTAACGTGTGTCCTGGAGATGGATGGGAGTCTCCAGTCGTGCTACTGGCAGCGGGTTGGTAATGGTGTGGTTTTGATGTCCGTCCACCCTCTCGTCCATTGATCTCATGCCGGAAGTGGCCTGTCTGGACTGGAGTGGAAAATGGATGGAGCAGTTGAGTGCCAGGGACTTCATAAAACGCCCCCTCCATCCTCCGTCCTCCATCGCCAGGCGCACTGAGCTGAGCTCATTAAGCAGAGCCGCGCAGCTGCAAGGTTTTTGGAGCGCCGCTCTGTTGACTTTTGCTTGATTCGCGACGCCGTTTGTTTAGTGAATGGGCAAACATTGCGCCATTCTCCTCTTTATCTGATCTAAATACGCCACAGGAGGTTTAAGCTTGAGAAATGGGCCATGGATGCACACGATGATCGCATGTGTGAACGGCCGTATTTCACCTAAATAAAAAGGGGATTTTTTTTTTAATGTGACATTATTTTCATGACAGTTATGCACATTTCTTCCTCCCATAATTAAAACTGTTATTATTAAAATAAGTTATTTATTTGTTTATTTATTGTTATTGTTATTTTGCAAATTACATTTACCCATTTTCATCATGGTAGTATTTATTTGATTGCATCCAAATAAATTTAAAATTGAAATAAATATCAAATAAATATAATAAAAAAAAATGTTTTGCATAATGATAATACATTTTTAAAAATGTGTGCAGTAATCTTGAATGTAATGTCAAAATGCATGCATAAAAAAATGAATGAATAAATAAATAAATACCTACATACATATATGGTACTAAAATAGTACAAAAAAAATTGTTTTTGGGATAAAATAAGACCTGGACTTTTTGTTCACGACATCACATATGTTAATTTTCAAAACTTTTTTTGAATATAAAAAAAATCTACTTTTCATCTATCAGTCTGTATGTTTAAAAAAAATACTTTTATTTAGCAAGGATACATTAAATTGATCAAAAGTGACAGTAAAGACATTTCTGAGTTTGCGAATAATTTCTATTTCAAGTAAATGTCGCTCTTTAGAACTTTCTATTCATCAAGGAATCCTGAAAAAATAAACAGTATCACAGCTTTCACAAAACTATTTGGCAACACAACTGTTTTCAACATTGATAATAATCAGAAATGTTTCTTGAGCAGCAGATCAGCATATTAGAATGATTTCTGAAGGATCATGTGACACTGAAGACTGGAGTAATGATGCTGAAAATTCAGCTTTGAATCACAGGAATAAATTACATTTTAACATACAGTGGGTACGGAAAGTATTCAGACCCCCTTAAATTTTTCACTCTTTGTTATATCAAATAAATGCAGCCTTGGTGAGCAGAAGAGGCTTCTTTTAAAAGCATTAAAAATGTTTCCAACCCCAAACATTGGGACGGCAGTGCATGCAAAATCTGTTTTTGTTTTTCCAGTATAATCGTTCATTAATCAGTCAAGAGAAAGCATCAACCCTCAACAACAGCGGAAAAAGAGAGTGTTTTTGGTCATCTTTTGTTGCTTTCTCATGCCGAACGCCGCACAGGGCAAAAGTAAGTCATGGAGGCGAGGCGAGGCTGACGTGACATTCCTTTTGGATATGCCAGCTAATCCCAGAGCTCGTGTAATGACTGCGAGCGCCGGACCAACAGAAACATTCAGTGATTGGAAAGCACTTAAAGAGCCAAACGGAGTCTGGAGCCGTAATATCGGGAGATTTAGGAGGAGCAGTTAATGTCTTCAAGATGTTTTCAGAGCGGAGCGGATGACATGATGCAGCTCTGGCTTCTGTTTGACGACTTTTTATAAGCTAATTGGTGGTTGAAAACAGCGTTGACCTGTTTGATTGAGCATTTAGCTGCAAAATGCATGAATATACTCATGTTTTTCTGCAGATTTAAGACTCAGATGCACCAAAACCCAATGCTCCTCCATGGTTTTGCATTTAAGATGCACGTTCTGCTTTCTTTGGATCATAATTAGCAATTCCCCTTGGACAGCGGTGACCTTTGAGGTTGGAAACGTAAGGTTATCCTGGTCTGACGCCACGTGGTTCATATGGGGCCTGTATATCTGGCTGCTGGTCGCTAACAATCTGCATGTTTTTTGTCATGATTGTATGCAAAGATTCTGCCCCGGAGCGTTTAGGAGGCCCGTGTTTTCTCTGGCATGTCCAGGAAAACCGTTTGCATGCAAATGGCACAGAGCGCATGTCGGCCGATTCGATAAAATTCAAAACAGCCACTAGATTAGAGCAGCTA